AGGCCATTGCTTGTAGTAGGTTGAAGGCCATTGCTATTGGTTGGAGGCCATCACTATTAGGTTGGAGGCCATTGCTATTTGGTTGGAGGCCATCGCTAGTAGGTTGTAGCATGTTCAAATTCAACTTTTTTGACCACTTGCTTTGGGTTTGCTCAGCAGTTCGACGACCATGCTTCTCCACCTGAGGAACGGTACTTGCGACATGGTCTGCACCGCCACCACGTGGAGATTTGCCATATCAGCTCTTCAAAGAGTGGAATCTCGTCAGCGGTTTTCTGAGCATGATTGAGATGTCAGTTGTTGACAGCTTTCACGTGTTTTTAGTTGCATTTAACCTGGGGAGACTAGGGCTCAAGTTGCACTTGAACACCTGCAGGCGATTGACAACATAAGAGCACTCGTCCACCAGAGCCGTGGCTAGGAAGGCTGTGCGGATTTGACTTAATTCACACAACCTCAGACGGGTTCCGTGTGGAACACGGTACAACGGTCATGTTGATCCCGCCAAGTTCATTTTCCACAAGGATTGCCACGGACACGGATACCTTCATCCGGCAACGTCATGAAGAGATCTTCCTTGACGTGGTGGCCTGGAGTGGTTAGGGAATGACTGGATTGGTGAGAGATTGGTGGCAGCCACGGTAGCTGGTAGCTGAGCGGTAGCCCAGGTCAAGAACAACCGGCTGGTGTTCGAAGCGGTGGATGGCAGCTGAACTTCAGTGAGTTCACACTTTGCAAAGCTAGCATTCTGGAAACAACAAATTTAAATCTGCACGATCTATCTCTTTAGTCTCTCGTCTTGTAAGTCTTGGAATTCTCTACGCTTGCTATGGATAACTTATAACCTTGTTTTCGTTTTTTATTTGCCTTTGCTTCCCCTTGCTTTCAAAATGCTCAGACCTAGCATGCCTTGCTCGTGGCAGTCAACACAACGCTTTTTGAAGGCCTTTTTTGCTAGTCCTTACTGGTTCGAACAGGCAGGCTAGCAGCTTACCTCTTGCTTTGACTTCGTTCTTCTAGGTTGGTTGGCCTTGCAGCCCGAACCCACACAGCTGAAGTATGCACTACCCTTGCCTATCCTGGGGGAGCTGCGCGGTGGCCTAGTCTTGATCTTCAAGAAGGAGAATCACGAACACACTTGCTAAAACATCATGGAACATTGCAAGCTGCAGTTTGGTGGACTGATCCTTGCCAGGTGTGGACCAAGCTCCTGTTACTAAACGAGAGTGAGAGCGTTTGAGCTTTTGCTCTGTTCCACTAGATTCGTCTTGCCGATTTGAATGAGAGCAAAAAGGATTGCGCATGTGAGTGGCTCACGATTCTTCTCCAAGCTTCGCCCTGCGCTGATGAACTCTATTTTTCTGGAGCAAGGGCACTACCAGTAGCTCCTGGCCTTATTACGAGTAACAAGAAGCTACTAGGAACAAGAAGCTACTAGGGGCTCCTGGCCATACTACTAGACGAATGCCACGAACACACAGTCAACCTTTCTTGCTAGACACCGGCCAGGAGAGCAGGACCGGAGCGGACACGGAGCGGATTCTGATCCAACGTGTTTTCTTGAAAAAACACGACTTGTCCAGGCAACCTCTCGTGGAGCAGAAGCAGAAGGCCAGGTTTTCTTTGCTGACTTCTCAGCGAAGCAGGTGCCCTAGTGCGAGCGACTGAGGGCTTTGCGCTGCAGGCTTTGCGCTCGAGAGCAAAGTCTGGCAGAGTGGAGCAGTTGAGTGTTTGGACCAAGGCACGGGAGCGCGGGAGCACGGGAGTGCATGGAGCGGTAGTCCAGTCGCGCATGACTTCTTCGTGTTATCGCTTTGTCACACCTAGCGTGCAGAATGAGTCAAAGACAGCCCTGGCCATCTCCAAGCGAGCAAATCGGTGGTGGGCTGAGGAATGGGATGAAGAAAGCAATTCTGCTATGGCTAAGACAGTATTCTTGGCCCCTTGTGTGTTCCAATCCTGCCAAGCCTGTCAAACGGTTGGATACTTGCTTTCTCAAAAGCTGACGAATGGCTTCGCAAAAAGCCTGAGTTCTTTTTTGTTGTTGTTGCCCTTTTTGTTGCGTTTTTTGAAGCTTTTCGCAGGGTTGCTTTTGGAGCGCTGCTTTTCACCATCTTGGGAGTGGCGGTGGATGCGGCTGCAAATCTGGTCACCATCCTAACCACCAAGCGCGATATGGCAGAAGTGGAAGACGAAGCGGCGCAGGCAGGGGAATCGGCGAGCACTCCATCACTGTCGCATCCACTTGTCCTTTCTACAGATTTTCCGGTATTTTGGTCAAGTGTGGCAAGCTACGGCATTTTTGTCCGGTATTTACCAGGAATCATTGGACATCCGATCGACGACGGACTGTAGATTCTAGATTCTAGATCCATTGATATCCATTGACCAGTTCCACTTCAGGTCTTTGCCCAAAGCCGGCAGGACCGCAGGGAGGCTTGACAGAAACAGATGGCGAAAACGCAAAAGGTTGGCAAAGAGCATGGCAAAGCCCTTCATGAAGTTTGATATCAAGAAGCATTGGTGCCTCCCCGGAAAGGTTTGATCTCGCCAACATGGAAACTTTCAGGGTCAATAGTTTTGCGACTCGTGATTTGCCAATCGCAGCCTTTCGCAGCCGGAGATGTTGAGTCCGGGCCCACAGGGTCAGGCCTCAGGCGAGGGTTGAGTACTTGACACGAGTCTAGTTCGATCCGTTTTGCATCCGAACGTGGAGTCTGATCTGACGTAGGCTGATGTCACCGAGCTTTGATTCTACGGCGTGGGCCGGAGACTCGGAGAAAGGAGGTTCGAGTGAACGAAGTGAAACGAAGCGGCCGGACGAAGCGGAAGTGATAACAGTGATGCGCATTGGCCTCACCCTAACACAGGGGAGGACGCTATTAGGGGCTCCTGGCATCGCTACTAGGAGCAAGGAAGCTATTAGGGGCTCCTCATCCGTGGCGCGCGCGAGCCCGCAACGTTGGCCTGTCACGACATCCTTTCGTGGCCTCAGCTCCTTGCCGTTGTGGCCTCCCGATGGATAGGCTCCGTACTGCTCAACAGAGGCTCCACATACTTTTACAATCTGCACCACAGAACCAGCTAAACACTTCTCTTTGGGCACCATTCTTCTTCCAAATTTTGGCCGCTGTGGCCCATCAGCGGACTGTCCATCCAAGGGCTCTTGGCCATTTCTTGTAACGAGTTGGTTTCCTTCAGCCTTCCAAAGGAAACAGGTGACCGGCCTCAGCAGAGACACGGAAGTGGCAAGCCACAGCATCGTAGATGGCAGTTGACACGTTGGCCCAAGAAGTGCAGCCAGTGGGCAGGGAATAGGGAGGGATCTGAAAGAGGCAAACCTTAACACCCGCCCGTTGAACAGGTGATCGACGCAAGGGATCGCCGAACCTGACCAGGGACATTGATGGACTCGTGACCCCGCCACTGTCAGTGCCTTAGCATCAACTTTATTGGCCACGCGGTGAAGTTTAAGACAAGCTTCCGACCACTGGAGACTGCGAATGCACCTGCACTATCTGAGAGTCACGTCTATCGGCGAGCCATTTCTCAACACAAGTCTGTCTCCCAGAGTTTCACAGAACATGAGACACCCCATGTCTCCACAGAACATGGGATCAAAAGCACGTCGAACATATTATCCCGGCAAGAGACCCCAAGATCTAGACGCATTGGGGTGGAGATCGTGGTGATGGATGGCGGTGGTGGTGAGTGTGACTGTGAGTGTCAGTGTGAGTGTGAGTGTTTGTGAGTGTTTGTGAGTGTGAGTGTGAGTGTGTGTGTGTGAGTGAGTGAGTGACTGAGTGAGTGAGTGGGTGGGTGGGTGAGTGAGTGAGTGACTGAGTGAGTGAGTGAGTGAGCGAGCGAGAGTGGGGAGTGGGTGTGAGTGAGAGTGTGAGTGAGAATGTGAGTGAGAGTGAGAAGGAGTGGGAGTGAGTGTCAGTGTGAGGGTGAGTGTGAGAGAGTGAGTGAGAGTGAGTGAGAGTGAGAGTGAGAGTGAGAGTGAGAGTGCGAGTGAGAGAGTGAGTGTGAGTGAGTGTGAGTGAAAGAGTGAGAGAGTGAGAGACAGATATCGTGACACAGCACTTTGTGAACCTCGAAGTGCAGATTTCATGGCGAAGTGCAGATTTCGTGGCAGGCACAGCACTTTGTGCTCTCAGATGCTCACCTCTCGCTCTCGCTCACACTCACACTCACACAGGCTGACGCTCGCACTCACACTCATACTCACACTCACTCACAGGCTCTCACTCTCACTCTCACTCGCACACTCACACTCACACCCACTCACTCTCTCATGCGCTTCAAGGTTCACAAAGTGCTGCGCCTGCCACGGAATCTGCGCGTCGAGGTTCACAAACCGCTGTGCCTGCCACGAAATCTGCAAACGAGCCACATGTCGAAAAGCTACGATTCACTGCACCTGTCACGACATCAGAGCGCCTGGATGATCACCACCATGTCCCTGCCACAAAATTGCTGCACTTCGAAGTAAAAATCGCTCCGGTCTCGTGCGTTTGTCAGGAAAAGTCGACTTTGGACGACCGAAACGAGAGGTTTCCCTTGCGCAGCGCTGTCGCTAGAAGCAGCCGCCGCCGGCCCCCAGATTTTGCGAGCCTGCGCAGTTGAAACGTACGTCGAGGATTGCGAGAGGCATGAATGTATAGCAGCGAATTGGCCGTTCACGCCCGCACGCCCCAGCGATCTAAGCGCAGCTGCTTTTCACTCACCGAAAGAACCCCTAGTGTGTCCACACTGTTTGGGAAAAAGGCGAGGCGTCGCTCGCCCAACACAAAATACCGGGACCCGCCACAGGCCATCCCCACGTCGCCAGAGTGGGTGCAAGGACGCTACAAGGGCCCCTGGCGTTACTACTAGGAGCAAGAGGACGCTTCTAGTAACAAAGGGCTCAGCGATCGGACGCAAGCCTAAGATCGTACTGTCCCAAAGAGGGTGAACAGATAGTACGATCATCTAGGTAAAGCAATTGAAGAAGGGAAAGCAAGAGTGCTTTGCCTCAGGGGACTGGCCAACAAGGCCACAAGCCCTAATGGTCTCCTAGAGGTATGCTGGAGCATTGCAGAAGAACATCCGGGCACACTGCGCCACCAAAAGTGGCATATCATGAAGCGTGCTCCACTGGCAAGCCCCACTGACTCAAGGCAAAAAAGGCAAGACAGGAGAATAGGTCAGTTGTATATCCAAAAGCGTGACTTTTAAACGATAACCCCGGCGAGAGACCCCAAGCAGTGTTCGGAGGAAGAAAGCAACCAAATACTGGCACACATAGAAGAGCAGATGTATGAGAGTGCACGTATAAGAGCACACATATGAGAGCTCACGTGCGTGAGACCACGCGCATCATATAGGCGGAGCGCAAACACACTTATTATTTTGCGTACGGAATTGAAAGCGGTTGCCACACGCCGGCCTAGGTTACCAGTTCCTAAGAGTGCAAGTAAGAACCACCGGACCTGGAGGTCTTCAAAAGGAGAAGGAGCCAGAAGCTCAAGTCGAAATCGAAACGACAAATGACGACGCGCGTGCATGTCTGCGGAATGCAACTAACACTTTACGACTCACCTCTGCAAATGTTAAAATTCAAAGCAGGTACACAGAGCTGATCAGGCTCTGCTTCCAGCACAAGTGGATAGCTTCGTTCGGTGCAGTCTCCACTCTGCTCTGCTGAAAAACTAAAAGCGCAATCAGTACAATCCAGGTGGATCCCTGTGACTTCAAGGGCACACGCACACATGAGAGCAGTCTGGGCAGGCACGGACCTGGACACCGTCGAGGGCCAGGGGTAAGGGCGTGCACACCGTGCCATAGAGAGCTGCAGCCCAGTCTGGGCACGCGCGGGCCTGCCCATCGAGAACGCCAGAAGATATGCCAGATAAAATGGCCAGAAAGGATGTCAGAATATATGCCAGACAGAATGTTAGGGGGTGCGGTGTGCTAGATAAAATGCCAGAAAGTGTTTAAACGTGCGAAAGGTTGCTAATGCTTCTTAATCAGCAAATTCACGCCCAGCTTTTGGGATTTGCTCGTTTTTTCTGAGAGTGTCCGAGCGAAGGGTTCTTCTAAAGAAGCAGGAGCGTTACATTACATATCATGGCAACTTACATCCGTGCATATCCAGACATGTGCATTCACGCATCGTGACATCTGCGCATCCAGGCATATGCATTTTCATTGCGCATCTCTCTCTCACATCTGCGCATCTTTACATCTCACATCTTGGCTTCCGTGCGTATCCAGACATGCGCTTCTTCACATCTAACCTCCCTCCTCCATCTGTCTCTCTCTCTCTCTCTCTCCCTCTTTCTTTCTTTCTTTCTCTGCCTCTTTCTTCTGTTTCAAAAACTGCGGATATTGCGAATTTTTTGGTCAGCGGCAACCCCCTCACACAAAATGCGCGTCAAATCTATAATAGCTGACAAAACATTGCAATGTAAATGTTTCGCTGGCAACTCTTTTGCACGAAATGAGTGTCAAGTGGCAACACTTCAGGGAGAATTGTGATATCGCGTAACTGTTGTCGAAAGCGGTCGAGGACGAAGGTGGAAGTTGCCAGAGTGTGTAACCATCGTCGAAAGCAAGGGTGGAAGTTGCCAAAGTGTGTCATTGTCGTGGAAAACGAAGGTGCGTGCGGGTTTGCGCGGCGTCGGTGAAGGGAGCTTTAGAGTGAGCCCATCCCCCCCTGTGGACACTGAAATGCCAAGCGTGCTAAGCTACTAAGCGCCAACTCTTTTGCATTCTTTCTTGCCATCTCACGACTCTCTTTACTTTCCTGTTTCATCGTAATGCAAACATACCTTACACCAGAGTAACTCTACACTAAAATGCTCTCCGGCCAGCCGTCGCGTAGTCTGTAAATGTTGATGTTCAAATTTTAACTTGAAAAAACGTTCTGTGGAGCGGGCCAGTCGGACCACGCACAAAGAGCGCTCCATGAGCTGACCCAGTGCTGATCGGGTCTGATTCACATATTGTTCCAAGGGAACGAAACACAGAGTGTGCATGTAACACGCTTTCTTACTGGTAGGGGGGCAGTGTCCAAGACCGACGTTGAGCATGGTGTAGTGCACTTTCCTTGTCCTTTGAAAGGCGCCGGAGCAACACGTGTATGGCTTGCTACCGCTGCTCATGTGCCGTGAGGTCATTCGGGAGGACTGAAAAGCAAAATGAAACAAATAAGAGACGAAGGAACCACTGTTGAACTGTGGTTGTTGCTCTTCGTTCATGTTTCCTCTCCTCAGGAGTTGACACTTCCGCCACCCGATGATCGTCTAAAGGCTTGGGTTTTCGTGCTGCAAAGTGTTTCCTAAGCATGTTTTAAGCGCATCCGTTTCTCTCCACTGCATGCTATGCACTCCGCTGCTTTGGGCTGAAAAGGAGTCCAGGGTTAACAGACCATGGCCTTAAGAGGAAAGGAATAACCGGGTCTGAAGGGTCAGACTTTGTTCTGGGCGGACCATGCCATGCTCGCTCCAGGGAGGTGTCTTAGCTGAAAGATGCGCAAACAAAAAACGATATAATGCATACATATTTATATTATATGATTATATAATACTATATATATATATGTGGTAGACATATGCACGCTGCGTAGGACAGACCGCCTGAGATTTGGCATTCCGTGCATTTCACATCTTTTCGCCAAGGACGTAGCTAAAGATTCTTCCAAGGCCTCCAGAGAGTCTTAGCATGGACGACTCTGGGTTCGAACTTCGGCCTGCCCTGCCTGAAGAGGCCAAGATGGCTGCTTGGACCGGACGTGGTCGGAAGCGGTCGTGGTTCAGGTGGAGGTCGGCTGTGGACCTGGAGATCTCCTACGAAGCGGATGGTCTCTGCCCGAGGCGCATCAAATTCTGGCGTTCTCCCTAGAGGCAGATCAGTCCTCTGGCGCATTCGTTCAGGTGGAAGAGGAGAAAGTTCCGAAAGAGAGACTTGCGCCTAGTCTCTCGCGACAGTCGGGTGCCAGCGGGCAGGGTTGATGCTCAGGTCTGCTGCAAAGATTAAGGACTGAGTCAAAAACAGATCAAGATGCAATCAATTGCAATCAAAATCTCACAAGACAGGTCAGGTCGCTTGGCACAAACTGTGAGGACACTGATTAAACGACTATGCTGTTCCCCAAGAAGCTGTGAAGAGGGTTGCTGCCCTGGAGGGACTCTTGCACTGTGGTTGAAGATGCGCGCATTCCATTTCATTCACGATTTCACTGTGATCTATCTCTTTTACTTTGGGTAGCCAGTGCTTGAGGCCCTGACAAGATGGTATAGGGCGGGCAATCTTTGGAACGTCGCTGAATGTCGCAGCGAATATTGGCCTTGAGAAACATGAAGGAAAGGAAGGTGGCAATGAAGCAACGGGTGTGCTGGGTGCATGAGGGAGAGTCCTACGAGCCTGAGTTCGACCCTGTCCTCCTGATTTGCTGACCACGACACGATGCGCAAAAATATCGGGAGAGATTCCAATCCTGATTCTTTCCGTGACTCAATTCGCAGTGCTTCAAGCAGATTGACATCAGCTTTCAGGGCCTTCACTGCGCAGGCTGTGGACTCCAAGCATTGTGAAGCCCAGATTTTCAAGCCACCGCGCCCGGTTCCTGAGATTTGCTCCAAGAGCTGGGTCAAGCAAACCAAGAGCTGGATGAATTGCTTGTTTAGCAATGTTCATCGACTGCCCATAAACGTTTTCCTTTACTCGTGCAGATGTTTCAGGTAAGGATCCATCAAAAGAGGAGGAGGCAACTCGCTGCGGCAAAAAGAAACACATGTCACATGTTCTTCTATTTGTTTGCTTGTTACTTTTTTTCCTCAGCTTTCTGTTCTTCGCTTTGGCAGGAAGACGATGACGCTTGCAGCTACATCTCTGAGGGCGAACCCCGTGAGCAACGCCACCAAGACAGTCTCAAGAGCACAACTCGCGTCTCTAAGTGGAGACTGTTCAAATTTTATTAGTAAGGCCTGGAGCCCTAGTAGCTTCTTGTTACTAGTAGTGATGCCAGGAGCCCTAGTAGCTTCTTGTTCCTAGTAGTAAGGCCAGGAGCCCCGTTCGTAGCATCCTTGCTCCTAGCAATTTTCTGCAGCGACTGGCATCCTAATCCTAATTTCAGGCGAAGTGAGCTGGTCTCCTGGGGCAAGAGCCATCGAGGCGTGCGACGTGAACAGACTGTTTCATTTGCAACCAGTTTACGTTATACTGATCCGTCAAGATGTTTGCATGGATCCGTGTGTTTTGGAGTGTGGGAACCAAGGGATTTCGACCAGGATACGACTTCGACTTCTCACACGGATTGAGTTCAGTGTGTTTGTGTGCACACTTTGGAATCACAGCTTGCCCTTTGGCTTTGTTGACAGGGCACGAAGACTGATTTCCCATCCGTGCCAATGAAGCTACGGAAATCAGTTGGAAGAGAGTTGGGACGCCAACTCTTGTACCCGCTGTTGTGATTGTTGATAGCCACGCCCCGTTTCTAGAGTCTTGAAGGCAGCTTCCAGGTTTGGTGAGGTCGCGCTGCAGTAAAGGGCTAGTGCATTCGGCAGACAAACCATCGCGTGGAACCTTGGAACTTTGACTTGAGATGTTCAGGCCGCCTTGCCTTTTTGCTTTTTGCCCTTTATTTGGTTTACTCCTGGGCTCTTAGGCTTTCACACCTAGGTCGGCGTGTGGCATGCGGCGTTCATATCGTGCGTACTTGTATCCTGAGTGCCTGAGTGTGTGTGGGTGTGTGTGCGTGTCGCCAAGTCAAGCCGACAGTGTCCCTCCTGAGTGCTGCGATGGTCGCGTTTCATGACTCCTCAGGAATAAGATAAACTCAGGGACTTTGACACACATCTAGTGGACTTGCTGGTTGAGACTTCCGTTGCAACCCGAATCCCGTCCGTGTGACACTTTGTGCAAAGAGTATCAAAGAGTAGCTTTGGTAAATTTTGTCAAGGGCAGGTTGAAGGGAAGACCACTTTGTATGGCAGAAACACAACCAAAGGATACCAAAGGAGTGTCTGGAGTGAAGGCAGTTGGTGGCGGGTCCGCAGCAACTTGCGAGAGGAGGGCAGTGTGCGTGGAAATTGGAAAAGATTTCTGTACAGATTCCAAGGGGTTCCAATTTGCATGAACATTGGGTATCTGCCACAGCCTCTAGGAACTCATTGTGCGCGCTGGCGTAAGCCTCTCCAGTGTCGAGATTGGCAGGTCAGTGGTCGGCCCAGTCGGCCCAGACCAACACGTGTTTTTTCAATGAAGGAAAGCGTGCGTGTGCTTCGAGTTCAGGTTGCCGGTGACGTTTTCCAGCAAAAGGCATGGAAGCACCCAGAGCCATGTTGTGTTGGATTCATGTCTGTCTTGAAGAGAAGAACGTATAGTTGCTGTTGTCTTTCTCAATGCAGCTCAAGGATGCTTGATCACCAGTCCAACGGAGAAAGGTGCAAGGCTTTGCAAAGACTGTGAAATCTGCCAGGGAAAGCCACGAATGCTGCTTGAAAAGCGAGGCGAAGGGTGCACCAACTCAGCAAGTTGAATGGATCACAGCGGTCAATCTTTTCCCACAAGGGAAAGAGTTGTGAGTTGGCAACTCTCATGACCAGACTTATGACATTTTATGACCATGAGGTGCATCCGTATGCCAATCCAGCCCACGGGCTGGATCACAGCAGATGCATCCCGTGCTGGTGGACCTCAGCTACTTGGCCCAATCACTATTCGTCCAATGTGTCGTTGAGTCACCAGAGGACATTAGAGAAGTCATTTCTGATGGCCTCCAACTTACTGGCGATGGCCTCCAACCTACTAGCGATGGCCTCCAATCTACTAGCGATGGCCTCCAACCTACTGGCAATGGCCTGCAAGCTGCTTGCGATGGCCTCCAACTACTAGCCTCCAACTTACTAGCGATGGCCTCCAACCTACTAGCGATGGCCACCAACTCACTAGCGATGGCCTCCAACCTACTAGCGATGGCCTCCAACCTACTGGCGATGGCCTCCAACCTACTAGCGATGGCCTCCATCCTATAGCGATGGCCTCCAACCTACTAGCGATAGCCTACTAGCAATGGCCTCCAACCTAACACTAGCGGCCTCCACCCTACTAGCGATGGCCTCCAACCTAATAGCGATGGCTTCCAACCTAATAGCGATGGCCTCCAACTTGCAATGGCCTCCAACCTACTAGCGATGGCTTCCAACCTAATAGCGATGGTCTCCAACCTACCAACCTACTGTGTAGGCCAAAGCAGTTACCTGCTGCGAAATTCCTAAGGTATCTGATTCGCATTCATTCCCCACAGTGGAAGGCCGGGAGGATGGCAGACCTTTAAGTCTTGTATCTAGACCTCAGTTCACTAAGGCTGTGTATGACGCTGGTGGACAGGACGCGCGGAATGAACACTTTTTGTTGCTTGAGCTAAGGATATCGACTGGAGATTCATACCCCACAATCATGGCCTTAACGAGTATAAGCCTTGGCTGTCCAGGACATCCTGGTCCGTGCGAGTGTGGAGCTGGACAGCGAAGCCCTCGCACCCAGACAAAAGGTGACGGTTTCTCGCGCCCGAAGGAATAGTCGGAGTTCAATCCTAATAGCGATGACCTCCAACCTACTAGCTGGCCTCCAACCTACTAGCGATGACCTCCAACCTACTAGCTGGCCCCCAACCCAACCTGCTTCCAGCCATGGCCTTCAACCTAATAGCGATGGCCTCGAACCTACTAGCGATGACCTCCAACCTACTAGCTGGCCTCCAACCCATCCTACTTGCAGCGATGGCCTTCAACCTAATGGGGATGGCCTCCAAGCGGTGGCCTCCAACCTACTAGCGATGGCCTCCAACCTCCAACCTAAAATGGACCCTGAAGTATTTTCAGTCTCTCACCTGCTTACCCTGAGGTTGTCGCAACCCTCTCGTGCGGAGACATTGTCGAGCAGGAGCGAGCGTTGTCGCCCTTCTCTTTCGTTCACACCGTTCGTCTCTGACGTCTCCCTACCGCCGAGAAGACCGGATTCTGTGTCTCGCTACCGCCACGGGTACCCATCCCAACTGGACGTCGAGCCGAGCGACTTCGCGCCACAGCCGCTGGCAGCCAATGGCAGGGGACAAGCTGCGACAAGCTTCTTGCTCCTAGTAGCGATGCCAGGAGCCCCTAGTAGAGTCCTTGTTCCTAGTAGCGATGCCCTTTGCTCCTAATAGCTTCTTGCTACTATTAATCATTCTGGCCCCTGACCCTGACCTTGCCTATGTTCTCATGACATGTCATGTGCATATGTAAGGCTTCCATCATCCCGTGTGGGGGGTGGTTTGAGCAAAAGCTCAGCGATAACTTGACACACACACATACACATACACATACACACACACACACATATATATATATATATCATTACACATCACGTCATCACAGATCCCATTGATACTGTCCATTGTCATGTCGTCTGGAAGATCTCTTCTTTTCGGCCATGACTTTTCTGAAATTCTTTCGAAACTTGAAAACTGGCTGAGCGCTGGGCCAGCACCGCTTTCGGGCCGGGCCGGTCGAATCTTTCGAAAGTGCCAGGATGGACCAGTCACAACCGTGCACTGGGGCATTGTGAGGACGAAGTCGAGCAGCATGTTACTAGTAGCTTCTTGCTCCTAGTAGCGATGCCAGGAGCCCCTAGTAGCGTCCTTGTTCCTAGTAGCGATGCCCTTTGCTCCTAGTAGCTTCTTGCTGCTATTAATCATTATTAATAATTTCTTTCAGAAATGGTGTTGTCCTCTTTCCAGGATGCCCATTGTGGTCAAGTCTGGCCGGCAAAACGGCGATTCGCAGAGGTGCGCGACGAGTAGGCAGTAGGCGGTGCGCGACCGGTGCGAGTGGCCATGGGTCTGTCCGTTCTTACCTGTAGAGCCGTCAGTAAACAAGAACATCACTATTTTTGGACAAGGCCTTTACTAGCCATCATCCACTGTTACTAGGATAGATCCAAGCCATGCACATGAACTTGATCTTGGATGAATGCGCTCAGCAGCCCGACACGAACATAGATTGCAACCAGCAGATGAATCTGTGTCATTGCAGGCCACAGTGTGATCTTTGTGGTAAAAAAGGTCAAGCAGAAACCGAGGAAACATATCCCCAAACTGCTTCAGCGTGATTGTTCTGCCTGCCTTCTCTTATTCAAAATTCAAATCGTTCCTTGATCTCGATCTCTTGTTTTCCAGCAAGTGCTCCTTCGGATTTGGTGCTTTGCCTGCTCTGTTTGGGCCTCCTGGGTCTTTGCTCGATTCGGGGATGCATCCGACCCTGTGCTTGGACCTTTTTGCACATATTTACATCACTTTAAATACTAGTGTAAACTCTTGATTCGTGACACACCCCATGTAAAGAGGTTTTACACTAGCCCTCCGGCCCAAAAGCCCTGAGCTCAGGGAACACGGGCTCCCAGGGTGGTGCCGCCTCCAACTTGGAGGGGTACCACGTCCAACAAGGTGGTGCCCTACCCCACCAGCCCTTTGGCGTGTGTGGTGTGTGTGTGTGTGTTTGTGTGTTTTCGTGATCCCTCCGTGTTGTGTGATCCTGCCATGTCGAGTGCTTCCACGATAGAGCCCTATGCTTCACAAACTGGAAGCCCTGCAATCC